AATGTGGTCTAGGGGAAGGTGTCCCTACCCACGGCCAGGGAATGGAATGAGATGAGCTTAAACCTCCCTTTCAACCCAAGCCATTCTGTGACTCCACGAGTGTTTCCATCTGGCCCTTTGCTCCTTGTCCCTCGGAGCAGCCACGACATCTCCCACCGGTTCAGTTCCCACCGAGGGGGTTGTGCCCAACCCTTCCCCACCAGGCTGAGCCCTCTGCAGTGACAGGGTTGCAGACGAGCTCCCTCAGCCCTCCCGGCACCACCTGCCGAGGTGCCAGACAGCCGAGTGCCAGCAGCACCCGCCGCGGCGTCGCCCCGGCACGGGCTCGGCACGCGCCGCTCCCCTCACACCTCCCGGCTCCCCGAGGGGCTACATATGTTCCCATGTGCCAGACTGAGCTCAGCAGGGTCTAGCAGGAACTCGAGTGACGGATTTTGAGCGTTGGAAGAGCCCAAAGTAAGGCGGATTCCGTCGTTCTCACTGTGAACCGGCTCCCCGGGTGCGCAGCCAGAGCTCTGCCAAGTACTGGGAGTGCTCTGGGAAAGACTGGGAGGATTTTAAGGTAAGGGGAGGAAAAACCGGGGGTTGGAACCAGATGACCTTAAAGTGCCTTCCAACCCAAGCCATTCTAAGCAATTCCATGATCCTACAATCCATTAATACAACAATCCCCCCCTCCACACTCCAGCCTTTGGCCTCAGCCCCCCCCCCACATCCCCCCCCCCAATTCCCTGTGCTCACCCCTCGCTCGCCAAAACTCCTTCCCAGCCCCTGTTCCGCTGCTCTCAAGGTCTCAAACCGCTCCCGAGAGGATTTTTTTTGCCTCTAAAGCTTTTCCTTTCCAGAAAATGCTCCTCCTGCACCGTCCACCGGCACCAAAGAGCTCCGGCAACCGCGCCCGGTGCCCGTCAGCAATTCCACCCAAGGCAGAGTCCAATGGGGACAAAAGGGAGGATTTTGGCACTGGACTTTCATCCCATGCTGTTGTTCGTGCTCAAAGCCGGGCTATTTTTGTTGAGCAGTTTGGGGATTTGCAATCCCGAGGCGGGATAATGAACTGGCAGCACGGAACAGGTTCAAAGGGAGCCTGGACAAAGCCACGGAGGAGCTTTTTTGGAGCTGTTCTGTGCCCTGAACCCCCTGAGCGCTGACAATTCAGGAGAATTATCTCATCTGTGCCCTGTTTTCCCTCCCCCCCCGGGAATCTGCTTGGCAGCAGTGCCTGGGATGGGATCCTGCACTAGATGGAGCCATGGTTTGATTCAGGAGAGACGTTGTCGTGCTCTCGGCAGCATCAAGATCCAAAAAACCAGTCCTGCCTTTTGTGGTTATTTCTGGGAACAGCCAGGAGTTGAAACAAGGGTATCTGGGCAGCACTGAGCTTGGTCACCGTGCCCAGGTTGTCACAGGACATGGCCCAGTGCCAGGAGAGCTCATCCTGGGAATGCACTGCCCGGCCTGCAGATGGGCACGGATGTGCCAAGCACGGAGCTACTGCAGGAAATCCACTGGAGAAGCTGGATCTTCCCCCTGGAATGCCCTGGTCATGGCTGCCGGAGCAGGGGTGACACTGGGACACCACCAGATCCCATCTCTCCTCCACGTTTTCTTAAATGAGGAGGGACACTGTGGAAAACCTGCCAGTGCCTTCGATAAGGCAGAGACACTATGGAAAAGCACACCCAGGGCACTGCCATGGGCAGGGACACTATGGAAAACCACATCTGAGGCACTGCCAAGGGCAATGACCAAGAGCCCTTGGCACTGAGGCACTGCCAAGGGCCAGACATCTCAGAAGGACCTTGATGGGAATGGACCAGCAGGAACCCCAGGAATCCCAACAAGGACAGGCACCAAATCCCACACCTGATCCGTGTCCCTGGAGGGAGAGACCAGACTTGGATAAAACCCTGAGGAACATGATCTGTGTCCCAGCTGACCCTGTTCAGAGCTGGTTGGACTGGAAACCTCCTGCTTCCCCCAGGAATTCTCCCTTGCCTTTGCCCCAGCCCCGGTTCCCAAGCTGGCAGTGGATACGAGCCTGTGCCCTGGAATAGAGGAACGTTCTCTATTCCCTGGGAAAACAAACATCTCCTGTTGCTCCTCAGCGAGAAAACCACCACTGAGGATTGCTCAGGGATGGGAGAGGGGGGAGGGAAGAGAACCTTGGCAGATTCTTTCTTCACTACCTGCGAGTGCCGGCGCTGCCGAGCCTGTGCCGAGCCCGAGTAAACAAGCACAGCCTTACTCATCCCCTCCCTCCTCCCCGGGCTCCTCATCCCCCACGCTCTGCTGATGACTCTGTCTCCAGCCCCCCCTTCTCCAGCTCTGCTCTGGTCTCACAGATCACAGAATCATGGAATTGTTAAGGCTGGAAGAGCCCTCTGAGCCCAT